CCACATCCTACACAATGGACATCTCAAAGAAGAGGATGATGATGAGCAAGATGAGGAGGACAACGACAAAGACGCCAAGGCAGATAACGGCCTCACATCTTCAGACAAAGGTGGGCACTGAGAGAGACTTACAGCAATATTAAATTGCCAATTCATGAACCTTTAAAAAGCCACTTTTTTTCAATGAGACCAGTTGTGAACATGAGCTAACGGAACATTGTCCTCAGGTAATTGAGCCAGGGTCCCCCCCACGCACCAACCCCAACCACCCCACTGTCTCCAGTCTAGTAAGTAGGGGCCCACAGAGTCTCGTTAGCCATGGTTGCCTCACAAATCCTCTCTCCCAGTGAACTCTATGTCTGCACCTCTTCTATACATCACTCTCATGGACTCACCACTCTCCATGGCCACATGCAGTCATGCCATATCATCCCACTTTTGACTAAAGGCTAGTCTAGTCAAACAGTCTTGTGTCACCATAGAAGACGGCAGGAGAACTCCTGCTATTTGAGTAAAGAACGAAAGATACTACCATGTTACCATGTTGATGGTGTACAGTTGTGAGAGCAAAGTACTTTTTCACTTGTCTTGATAAGGTCCTCCATATCTAGAGAATCTGTCAATTCCCTCTGGACTGTGGTTAGAGTGTTGGAATGAAGTGTAAATCATTACAGAGTGACACCATTTTCCTGTGTGAATACTGCACCACCGCATCACACTACATACTAAATGGAGATTCATTTAAAACCAATGCTGAGTGAATTGGAATATCATTCGTTTCCTCTCCTTTCAGAGGACCTCAAACCCGCTTCGCCCCCGACACTGGAACCTACAGGGCCGGCTCCTCCTCCACGTCAGGGGGACACACCTCTTGAGCCTCCCACTCTGCGGCCAATCACAGGGGAGCCCCAGTCCCCCAGCTACTCCTGCAAACGCCTTAAGATGGACGGTGACCTCTCAAACGGCACCACAGAGAACATTCATTGCATTAGCGCACAAGAGCGGTCAACTTCGCCACGTCCCAGTTTGCACAGTGAAGGACAGACAGTGACCAACGGTCTGGCAGAGCTAGGCATCACCTCACGGCCCCCGACGGGGGGAGTCGGGCGACGGACCTCCGTGCTGTTTAAGAAGGCAAAAAATGGAGCTAAGTTGTTCAAAGCGCGAGACAATCCTGTGCTGAATGGGAATGGACCACAAGACGAGAATACAAGTAACAACTCTTCAGCACTCAATTCCACAGCCAGCACCCCATCTTCCACACCTTTGACCACTCCAAGCAGAACCCCACAGAAGAGCCCAGGACCCCCCAACCTTAATGAACTATGGACTTCCAGTCGAGACATGTGTTCAGATAGTGAGCCAGAGAAGACACTAAATCACACGCTGGAAAGTGGTGAGAAACTTTGCTTGATTACTGACGTTAAGTTTAAAGTGTTCTGCTCAGAGAGGAGAAGTGACACCTAAAGACTCGCTTGGAAGGGATCACATTTTCTGGATTGGGCTGACTGTACATTTGTTATTAGCTGCTAATGCACTGATCACAGCATAGGAATATGTTTTTTTTCCTAGGTCTACCTGATTGGTCAGACAGTTAGCCCTGTATTGTCTAATGGATTTCAATATAACTGAGACAAGAGCAGACATAAGTTCTCCTTATATGTCATCTTTTCTGACTTCCCCTCCTGCTCCTTTGGCTCTTATCTGCTGCTGTTCTGATTTCTCTCGCTCTTACTTTCAGGATTGACCAACGGCTTTAACACGCACAAAGATAGCAGATCCGACTTGGAGTTTAGGTCTTGCCCAGTTCTCCACAAAGAAATGTAAGACATTGTGTGTCTGGTGTTCTTTGTGGTTTGTTTTGCTAACAACTGATAATAAAATTACAATATAATGTATTGTATTACAGCAACTCACCACCCAAACGTAGCCTTGGGAAACCGGCTCTTTCTAAAGTCCCCTTTCTGGAGATCATCAACGGAGACTCGGATTACACCGGTACTTTTTTTCCTCCTGTATCCCAAGTTCTCTTGAAGCTAAGTTGCATTTATGTCCTGATTATTTATTTAGTCGCTGAACTAATTTGAGTGTCACTGTTGTTTGACAGGCAATAGTAGTCAAACATCAGAGGATGAGATGGAGCTGGAACCACTAGACCTAGTTTGGGCCAAGTGTCGGGGATATCCCTCATATCCTGCTCTGGTAATTGCTGATCTGACTTAATATCACTATTTAATATGAGCGTTCAGCTCAGGGTGTAGCTTAAATTCCCTGTTGGGCTGTGTTTGTTTCAGATCATTGACCCCGAGATGCCTGAGGAGGGCCTGCTGCACAATGGGGTGCCGATCCCCGTCCCACCCAAAGATGTCCTGTGTCTGGGGGAGCAGCGGCAGGAGGAGATGAATGAGAAACTTTACCTGGTGCTTTTTTTTGACAACAAGCGGACATGGTGAGTTTAACATAAACATTGCTGTTATGCAATGCTCCATTTATCACATGGAGGTCAGAAGTGTTTGGTTAGTGAAACCTGATGGTGTATCATGTGATGAAAAGACAAATGGTGGAAAGTTTGTTTGTCTTTACAAATAATTTGAAAATTGTTTGTAGATAATTCTTTATATTTGAATTTTATTTTTAAGATTAAGATTTAAGATTTTATCACTCTTGATAAAAGGCTGTAATAATAATCCTAACCTCTGTCATGGGTGTTGTAGGCAGTGGCTTCCGCGTGACAAGGTGACACCCTTGGGCGTAGATGACACAGCTGACAAGCTGCGCATTATGGAAGGTCGCAAGTCCAGCATCCGCAAATCTGTCCAAGTGGCATACGACCGCGCCATGATTCACCAGAGCCGGGTGAGCCACAGCCACGGCTTTGTGGCTTCCGGGTACCTGTAAGGGGCCTCTGTGAGCACTGTGTACACCCACAGTTGGCCGATATGCATTTTCTCTTTGGTCTTAAAGCAGCAGGTGGAGCTGTTCCTGTTGCCGGTCGAATTCATATTCACACTGTGGTCCGAAAAGAGGTTGCCGTGGCACCGAGTCCTGGACTGTAGTTTATTACCAAACCACTAGTGTCTGACACACAGAGGACTGGTGTTTGCCTCTGTGTCATTGTTGAGGAGGTGGAACTCCTGACATGAATGAAGTTACCTTTAGGTCCCGTGTTGCTGCAGTAAATTCCCCATTCAGGGTTGTATTGAGGTGTTGCTTACTCCTCCTGGATGTGCTGATGTAAAAGAATTCCCGTCTATTTTGTATAATGCTACTGCTGCCAAGGAATCAAGTAGTCAGAAGAGATTTGATATATTTATATGAGCTGCAGAAGACTAATGAATGCATCACTGCCATCTTTTATACAATAGCTTTTTACATTTAAATCTTTTACAGAGACAATTGTATATTATAAAGGCACACTTTGTGTACATATGTAAGTGTATTATCAAACTGAATTTAATTTAATGTTGCCGTTTTAAAATGCGTATTTCAATCAACCCACAAGGGACAAAGCCAGGCTGTGTATATTTGTGGAGATTTAATAATTCCTGACTTGCTGCAGTTTATTTAGCTTGTCTTTGATGTAATTTCAACTGTGTTGTGTGCGTGTATGTGTGCGTACGTTGTGGGCATACAACACAATGAGCCGTTGTTCTTTATACTTGTATTCTCTTTTTGATACAGAGAGAAATAATTTATTTATGGAAGACAGAACTATAGAAATAAAGCTATATTGGTTAAAGTTGACAAAAATCTTATTTAATGGCGTGAGGATTTAAAACCATGCAGCCAACATTTTTAAATGGATGACATCACATGTTTAGTTTCAGGATTTTACTTCAGACCAACATTTGCTGTCCCCACCTCCCAGAGGATTCTATTTATTACAGAGTGCCCTATTTTATCAAATGGACAAATACACCTTCATAAGCTTGTACTACCTGCATATTTTACCTGCTCACCAAATATTTTGTCTGTAACCAGTATTTCCTTATTTGGGGAAATAAATTCTATATTAAAAAAAGAAAAAAGCTTTTGGGATACTTACCTGGAGTTTTGTGTTCTTCTTATTTAATACTGATCGATAAAGGATTCATTGTTATGTACACCTGTTCAACTGCTTGTTATTGACACTATCTCATTGACCAATCACATGGCAGCCTGCTGAAGTTCAACCATCTCTAGGGTTTACAAAGAATGGCCCTCCAAAAAAAGAAATCCTCTAGTTCTCTGCAAAAGAACTATAAATCAGAGGAGAAGGGTCAGATTGCTTCGTGCTGATTAGAAGGCAGCAGTCACTCAGATAACCACTTCTAGTGACCTGATATGCAAAAGAGCATCTCTGAACACACAACACGCCAAACTTTGAAGCCGTACAGCAGTAGAAGACCATACTGTGTCCCACTTATGTCAGTTAAGTACAGAAAACAGAGGCTACAGTTCTCGCCTGGTGGCGCCAGTGTCCGGCAGCCTCGCCTCTGTCAGTGCGCCCCAGGGCGGCTGTAGCTACACTGTAGCTTGCCATCACCAGTGTGTGGATGTGTGTGTGACTGGGTGGATGATTGTGTATAGTGTAAAGCGCTTTGGGGTCCTTAGGACCAAGTAAAGCGCTATACAAATACAGACCATTTTATTTACCATTTACACAGGCTCACCAAAATGAAGAAAAGACCTGAAAAGCACCCCTTCTGATTTGGTGTAAACACCACGAAAGCATGACAGTGAGGTCACTGTACTCGAATAATCTCCAGAGTCACCAGATCTCAGTCCAATAAGGCACCTTTGGGATGTGGTGGAACAGAAGATTCACATCATGAATGTATAGATAAGAAATCTACATGTATGCTGCTTATCATGTTAATACAGACAAGAAATCTCTGAGGAATGTTTTCCAGCACCTTCCTTTGATACAAGAAATTAAGGCCGTTCTGAAAGTTGCAGCCTAGTACTAGTAATGTGTGCCTAATAAAGTGACCAGTGAGTGTACGTTCATTACAACTGCATTATCATTACAGCTTTCCTTTTATGCTTTATTTTAACATTGTTCAGCAAAGTGAAAAGTACTGTAAGTGTGAATGTTAAATGTATACAAATATAAAAAAAACACCTATAAACGTTTCTTTGATGAAACAAACTGCAGCAGCCCACAAGTGCATCTCAGTCCTGTTATAGAGGCTAAAATTCCTAAATGACTCAGGACTGGGGAGAAAACAAAGACAGCTGAGTAACTGTCTCCTACACTGTCCCATTTATACCCAATCAGAACCATTCTAAGACAGTGTTTGTACAAATAAGTCTTTGAATTGAAGTGAAGACATAAAAGACTGAAGATTTTCAGAATTTCTTGCACATCTTCACTGTCAGTGTCCAGACTGCTGTCTTGTCAGGAGGAGGTAGTTGTGGCGGAGGGTTCGCAGCTCCGTCAGTCTGCCCAGCAGGCGGCCAAACCTCTGCGCTCCTCCTCGCGCTGCTCCAGCTTGGGCCCCGCACAACCTGGACAGCAGGTCCAGGATCAGTTCCTGCATTTTCTCAACACAGCTGGCTGCCTGCAGGGATGCGCGGTCTGCAGACAGGGACAGAAAGACAGAGACAGCTTTACAACAGCATCCCAGGAGCTTTGCTTTGCCAATTCTTAACTTGACAGCTGATTTTATTCCTGGTCTGACCTGAGCAGAGCAGCGCTGTGGCTGTAAGCAAGGTGTACTCAGCCTCCGTCACCCGCAGCGCAACCATGCTGTGGAAGAAGTTGAGCACTGGTGCAAAGAGATCCTCACTGCTCTCTGTTCACGCCAGCAAATGTGGAAAAAAACCATCTAATTCATTCATTGTCTGAGCAATTTTTCCACAGCTTGTCAGACTAAGGAGTGTATCTGCTGTGTGGTGTGTGTGTGTGTGTGTGTGTGTGTGTGTGTGTGTGCCTGTGTCATGTTGTGTTTTGGATTCTACGTCTCTGTGTGTTGGTACCGCCACCTAACCAATGAGCCCCTGCTGTGGATGTTTTCCTTTGATTCTACGTCTCTGAGAAAGCTGTGTGTTGACATACTGAAAAGCTGCAGTGCTGATTAATGGAGAGAAAAAAAGAAAGAATGGTTATTTCATACAGTTATCTACTTGTGTCTCATCATCTTCCTCTCTCCTGGTGTTTTTTCACCTGGACTGGGGCTTGTTGGGTTGTGGGAAAACTGCTGGGCAGAGAGCAGGAACATGACGTCCAATGAAGAGATGGATAGCAGAGAAATCTGGTCTGAGAAATCCAGGAGGTCAAAACCTGTGAGAAGATAATTCTTTGTTGCTATTGTTGTTTTAATACTTTAAATACAGAATCATTTTATATAACTTTGAACTGATATCAAAGTCCCTCCCTGGAGACACTGGCTATAATAATTCAGTAAAAGGACTAGATGTTGTAGTCCCTGATAATGCATTGCTTTAAATGGCGAGAATCTTGAGGGATGCTGTTATGAGGAAAGGCAGCCCAGAAACTTTACCAGCAGCACACATCGTTGTGTGCCTCAACTTTCGTCTTTTACCCAAGCTAATCTGCCATTTTTTGGGATTAGAGATCTGATCTAGATTATCATATTAAGATTTGGGACACATCATCAGTAGTGGACCTTGGATTCATCGGGTGTTTCAGCCATTATCACTAGACACCCTCATCCAAGGAGGCCCTGCCAGGGTTGATCAGGCCCCAGAGTGTGTCACTGGTTTATGCTAAATTGTTATTTATCTTCTTCTTTCTTCTGTTTAGTTTTCTACAGTTTATTTTCTCCTATCTATTCACTGCAACTGAGAAATAATACTTACCTCTTTAGGTAAGTATTATTTATGGAGCCTAACTTCTTCAAAGGGATAGAAAAGGTGATAGAGAGAAGTAAGACAAAAGGGACAAGATAGGAGAGAGCAGAGAGGAGAGCCGGAAGGGGGGCGCCCGATCTGGCTTCCCGCACCTCCCCGCCTGTACGCTCTACCTCCCCACTACCTCCCAGAAAAGGGAAGAAGAGCAGAGGGGAGAAGAGCGGAATATTTTCTTTTCTCTCGCAGTTAGCTGACTGCCTTAGCTGCCCAAGTGATGTCAGCTCTTTTTAACCATAGCCAGTGACTGGTCCTCTCAGCAGTGTTAGCTAGTTCTCTTATAACTTGCTGTTGCGCCTGTCCTCTGATCCCAATCTCTCTAAGCAGTTTTGCTGTTGTACTGGCAACAAAGCCCCTGCACCCCACTTCCACCGACGCACCTTGATCTTCCAGCCTCTGTCCTCTGCCTCAAGTTGGCATACTGCAGCTTCTTACGCTCAAATGCTTCCTCAATTGCTTCCTCCCATGGTACCGTCAGCTCAATGACGTACGCAAGTTTTTGGGAGTTAGACCAAAGGACGAGGTCTGGTCGCAGAGTAGTTGTTACGATCTCTGTGGGAAAAATTAGCCTCTGATCCAAGTCCACTTGCATCTGCCAATCCGTGGCAACCTTTAGTGGGCCAAGGTCCGGGGTTGAGGGGCTTGTCCTCGACTTGGCTCCCGGACAAATGTTGATGACAGCTGACACTCCTCTTGGTTCGTTAAAGGTTGAGCGTTGATGGATTTTCTTTTGCACTCAACTTTCTCGACTAGACACCTGAGGACCTGGTTGTGTCTCCATGTGTCTGCCCTGAGTAAGGCTAGTCCTAGAACCAACCAAGATGTACTTCAGTGTGGCTGGGACTGTACACAGGGGTCAGGATGGGTCCTTTCCAAACCACAGCTGCAGATTTATTGGGGAAGGTAACACATCATATCGGATGATGAAACTTAGTCTATTAGACTCCATTCCCCAGAATTCACTCCATGAGAGTTTCCTCTTTTCCACACTCTACCAATTCATCCAGCGACCCTGCTTGGCCAGCGCTACGGCTGTGGCATGTCTGGCTGTTTCCTCCTGTCGGCGCACCTCTTCCACCACCATTTTTTGATGTTCGGTTACAGATGCCTGTTGCCACCGAGGTGTTACTGCTCTAAGTCCAAATCCTCCTCTGCCCTGTTGGACATGACCCTCCACGTCACGATGCTGAAGAGCAGATTTGGCCTGTAGCACAGATGTGGCTGGGGTCCACTTCCTCCCCTTCGCTAGAGTGGGAGCAGTGCTTCTCACTATTGGGTCCCGGGAGTCCGTGAGTGACATCATAAGCCTAACTTTTGCACATTTTAACTCCTCTATCAAACTAGGCATAGGCAATGACAGTATCCCGTCGCGTAGAGTCCAACGCTGCTTAGGCATTTGGGAAGTCCGAGCCACTTCTTAACGTAGAAGCTCACTAGCCTCTCTAGTCGATTGGCATGATTGAGTGAGACCTCGTACATTGTCAAAAGCCACAGTAGTCTGGGTAATAACCCAAACTGGGTTCAGAGCTTCAGTTTCCCTGGGAGTGCAGTGTTGTTAATCCGCTTGAGGTCATTAGCCAAGTTCTGCCTTAGTTGTTCTAGTTGCCACGTATCATTGAGGTCTGCGTTAAACTACCGTCCCAGGCTCTTTATGGGCTTCTCTAAGATGGTTGGAATTTGTTCTCCACTGATATAGAATTGCTCGGCTGTTTCCCTGGAGCTTCTGTAGCAATCGCCTAGTACATGGTTTTGTTGTTGTAATGATGGTCATGTCATCCATGTAGGCTCTAATGGGTGGAAGACAAAGGCCACTCATGAGTGTCTCACCTCCCACTACCCACTGAGATGCCCGCATGACCAGCTCCATTGCCATGATAAATGCCAGAGGGGAAAAAATGCAGCCTGCCATCGACTCCAGTTTCCAGGTGCTGCCAGGCTGTGGTGGTGTTCTCAGCTGTCACACAAAACTTTAAATCCTGAAAGTAGGTCTTGACCAGTCCTGTGATGTGGTTCGGTACGCTGAAATAGTTGAAGGACATCGACAAGATCTCATGCAGAACTGACCCAAAGGCATTGGCAAGGTCTAAAAAGACCACGTGATGGTCTCTTTGTTCTTTCTTGGCAGTTTGAATCTGGTGCCAGATGACGCTGGCATGCTCCAGGCACCCCGAGAAGCCCTGGATGCCGGCCTTCTGCACTGATGTGTCAATGTAGTTGTTTCTTTGCAGGAAAGTAGATATTTTTGGGGCAAAGACACTGAAGAAGATCTTTCCCTCTACGTTCAGCAGGCTGATCTGGCGAAATTGGCTGATGGATGAGGAGTTCTTCTCCTTAGGGATCAGAATACCTCCTGCTCTTCGCCAAGCCTTTGGAATAACTCCTTTCTGCCACACTACCTTCATCAGCTTCCACAGGTATTTGAGGACTCATGGGGTGTGGCAGAAAGGAGTTATTCCTTTCTCCTTTCTGCCACACCCCATGAGTCCTCAAATACCTGTGGAAGCTGATGAAGGTAGTGTGGCAG